TAACTCATGGAAAAAATAGAAAAAATGTGAATTGGTTGGACATTTCTCTACACCTTAAGTGTGACTACTCGGCTTAGTAATATTTTCCTATCTTCTGATTGGCTGTTGGGGTTCCTTTAGTTTGGGTTTTACGACACTCATCGAAAAGCACTTAATGCAATCTTGACGTTACGGCTGTCAGGAAAATTAGGCACCTGATGGCTACATGTGTCTCCTAGTATGGATAAAGTAGCCCTGTGGGTTAATAATAGCCTTTGGAGCACAATCATTGAGTTACTCAGATACAACAGTGTAAAGCTTTGCTCTCAAGTCTTGCAAAGGATATGATTGACTCTGCTCAGCTGTTCCATAACTTTCATAGCCAGAGTTCCTTTTGCAGCCCTCCACTCATTTCATTCAAACGCGACAAAAACAAAGGCAATTTTTTGGTCAGAAGTTCATTACAAACTAATGACCAACCCGGCACTTTTAAATGCGCTCGCGCACGATGCAAAACAACGCTGAAAAAATATCGGGCCCAAACAATCCATTAAGATCACTGATCACTTCACGCGCACCTCAGCCCACGTCAACTATTGCATAATTTGCACTTATTGCAAAAAGTTATACATCGGCAAAACAGGAAGACGACCAGGTGACCGATTCCGAGAACACCTTCGCGACGTAGAAAGGAATGACAAGAACGCATCAGAACCAGTCGCCAGACACTTTAATCTACCTAATCATTCTAAGCAACATATGGCAATCTGCGGTCTTTCCTTACATATATGTAGCTCGGAAAGCCGCAAAACTCTTGAACAAAAGTTTATCTTTCTAATCGGCACTCTTAATCCGACAGGTATCAACGAACGCTTTTCATTTAATTTATTCGTGTTTTTCTCGTCGCCATGTTCCCACCAATAGCGTAGCTCCACTTTCTACATATAAACCTACACACAACCCACAATTCCTCCATTCGCACTGACGAAGGACTAACGCTCGAAACGTCAGCTTTTTAACCCTTCACGGTGGCCAATTTACAATTTCAACTCACTGAACGCTTCCCCTAAAATTTTGAAATTCGGCCGCGAGGACGTCACTTTCTCAAAGTTTGATAATTTGCTGTGAGCGTATATAATGACACCCTTCTAAACATCCCTCGAATAGTTGACCGAGACTCTAAAAACATCAGATTGACTCTTGTTTACGGCACTAATATTCAAGCATTGTTACAGATATTACACTTCCGCTGTTTGTAAATATAGTGAAAGTTATTGGCGTGTTTCGCTTTGAGGCTCAGCTGTGTATCATCAATAAAAGGTCTTCGATCCATGGACTAGCAAGTACTTCGATTGAAAGACAGAAAACCAATCATTACAAGTTTTTCACGAATTGAGACGTTGATATAAATCTGAAAATGAACTTCGTTATTGTTCTAATTTTATTGAATGATTTTATTCACTTGGCCCGTGCTGGCCTTAACAGTGATAAAATGAAGGTATCAACAACTGAGGACGATTCTTGTCGTCTAGGGGTCTGGACCTGCCCACCTGAAAAGCGATCAAAACTGGCAGGAAGAGCATCTTGGGATACCACTGGTGCTAAAGAGTTCTTCGTTGAGAAACCCCTTATTATGGCCAAGGCATTCAAGGACTCTTTTCGTTTAGAAAACGCAGCAGACACTGAAAATTACCCAACAGAAATGTGGACTCATAAAAAGAAAATGAGGTTAAAGCAGATGCTATGGACAGCTGTCAGGAAATCTCAGCAGAGTAAAGGTCGCGTGGCCAAAAGAGACACCAACCGCGCGTCTCCTTCAGGGGTCTGGTCATGTTCAGCTGAGAAGCAATCTAAAATTGGCATAGTGTCACGTAGTATCCCTAGAACAGAGGATTTTTTTTCAACAACCTATCGACGTGCGGCGGGATCTTATCCCCCAATCTGGACACGGTAAACTTATTATTTTAAATTTTCATTTTTTAAGAATATTAGAAATTGACAAAAAATGAGATTCTCTTCAGTTCTTAAAATTTGTCGTTGCAGTCGTGGCCGCGAAGAAATATTTTCCAATCTAGCTGAGCCGTTTCTGTACAAGGTTATGACAACAAAATAAAAAAAGGAACTATAAATCATGCGCTCTGTCTTGCTTTACACATGTTCTCATGTGTGATCTTTAGAGTCCTGTGTTAACTCCGATGCGTTCGTGGTTCCCTTCGCCTGAGCATCCTCTAGTCTGTGTACTCCACACTAACTATAAATAGATTGTGCTCAGCAACTTTTTGTATTGCGAGCAACGGTCAACAACCTAGAACAACGTTGCCTTCTTTGGAAACTTTTGGGTCAACAAATGGTTAAAAACTGACTAAACCATCGAAAAGGTCATTATCAAAAGGTTTTTATTACAACTAGTCAAAACTAAGGATGTCGTACGTTCTTAGAAAATAATACGTGCGCCTACAATGGACAGCAGCTACCTATCTAACGGGCGCTTACATCCAGCAGTTATTCGCTCCAACAGTAGAGCTTCCCGCGCGAAGGCCTTTATAGATTATGCTAGCATAATTTTTGGCGTAATTTGATAATTTCTGTCAAGTATCAATGATAGCATAATTCGCATATTTTGATAATTATCGGATCACTTTTGATGCTACAATTTGATCATTGTTCATCATCTCTACACCCAAGCACTTGGTGACGTTATTCGATGTTTTAATTTAGTTCAAGTAGTAGCCTTTTGTAGTTCACTGTGAATCACTGAGCGGCGTCTGAAACGGTCTGAGCCCGGGTCTGGGGTGCACCTAAACCGGAAGTCACATTGTAGGCCATGCATGTATAGTCTAGTACTAGTGTGGATGTTAACATGAACCACATGGTTATTTGAATTTCATTGTGGATTTGTTGCGTTTCTTTCTTGTAGACGAACGGCTTCTGATTAAAAAATGTATTTTTTGGACTTATTTGCAATTTTTTCAAAGAGCATAATTTTAAAAAAAAGGCATAATTTGGAAAAAAAGGGCATAAGTTTAGCATAATTTCGCCAAAAAAAAGCGATGCTACAAGGATAACATGCTACTTTTACTAGCATAATCTATAAAGGCCTACCGGCGCGTGCGAGGCATCACAGCTAGAAGCTGAAATGTCTGACGAGGAAAATGAAAATAATACAGATATTGACCCTATTGAGGTTACCATAACTGCTGGGGCAACTCTTAAAAGTCCTGCAATTTCGAGAAAGCGCAAAATTCACGTAAACAAAGGCAAATACAAACAACGAGAAGCGGTAGCTCGACCTCGTCCTTAGGGAAAGCAAACACAACATGCGCTTGGGATCGCGCGAACTTGAGACTATCCAAACGCCATTAGAAAATACTTTCTATTACTATTTACGTTGAGATTATATTGATCACAACAAATGATGTTAAATTACACATGTAACGTCATGTTTTGGGTAGTAATTTAGAACAAAATGATGCTCAAAAGTAAGCAACTTGTGGGTGGCAACTTTTAAATTTTTGAGCAACTTTAGAGCAACTTTTGGGTGTATTGTCAAGCAACGTTTGCTGGTTTTACTAGCACAATCTATTCATGCCCACTCCACACTAGTTCCCACGTTTTCCGAATAAGTTTCGTATACGTTTCTCATGAGCTCCCAACTTCATTAGTGTAACTCCCCATGCGTTCAAATTCCACACTACTCCCCCAGGCGTTTCTCGTGATTTCCTCATGCTTCCCTTACGAGTTCGTTCCCATTGTAATATATCCTGTGACTAATTACAGTTCCTATCTTAGTCAATGTTGGTAATGCGACAACAACTTTTCAACTGCAACTCTTTCCATTTATAAATCTCTAATTACCAGAACGTTCTTGCAATCAAAACCCAACAGAAAGAAACAATCCTTCTCCAAAACATAATCTGCTGGAACCAAAAGGTCGAGACAGCAGAAAGCAAATCGTTATCAATAAAAAATGTCGTATTCTTCTTGAAAATAATAATCTGCTGGCTATACCAATTCAAGTTTACATCCAAAAATAGCTTCGTTTATCATTTTCCTTTCTGTGAAGGGGAATTCTTTGATTTCAACTGCAATCTTGTCAAGGAAAGACAGTTTTTTAATTGAGAATTATAACTTCCGTCCGATAGGAGTTGACAGAATATGCTGTGATATATTTTTTGGCTTCTTTATTTTATTGTTGTTCTTTACTGCAGTTTAATGAGAGAATGGGGGGGTCAGTCCTCGTAAACAGAGTATAAAGGGGGGAATATGGAAAATCGACTGCCAGTTAACTGCCAATGAGTCGGAATCAAAAGAAAGCCTTATGAAGGGATCAGGAACATTTATTCC